CAACTTACTACTGTAATAGGAAAGAAATGTAGCAGTTTATACAATATGGTAACATTCGCTGTGCTGCCTTCATTTGTGATGATTTTAATAGTTATTGCATTATAATAGTGAAAATCTATTACTAATCATATTTAGAATAATTTATGGAAAATATATTTTGGTTTGCTTTTGATTTTATGTGAATAATTAGAGAGGTTATTTGCACACTTGATGACATTGTCAGTACTATTTACACCCGGGTTAAGTGGCACCTTTCTTTGCTGTATATTCTGTGTGAGAGACAAAGCTCATACAGCATGAATGTGAGTGGGCTTCATGATCAAACCGTGAGTATTATGCACTTCATAAAGTCACGTGTGCATGTGTAGCAGAGAGAGACATCTGTAGGGCAAAACGTAACCCCTTTTGCCTGTTATTCCAGGAATTTGAGTTTGGATGATTTAAGGTAAGTGTATTATTGAGGTTCAAGTGATTGTTGTCCAGTGCTCTCACTGCATGCCATATAAAGCTGCCTGAAAGCCATAAGACCTGCCTCAATGTCATGAAGAACAGTTAAACGTTTGATGGGAGAGTTGGGCAATATATCAGCTATTTACAATATATTCAGTATTGTTTTGGTGGCAATAAACTAACCAGTATAGTGAATATGATGATGATTTTAACAAAAATTTTTTGGCCATTATGTTTCAACTGCCAGTAGTGATGTCTGATGTCATTCAGTGGAAACAAGAAAACACTGTACAATGTTCTAAAATTTCATAATCATTTAAGGGTTAAAATGAATAAAATATCATACTTAACATGTGATCTCAGACTTTTGGACCCCACTATACAGTATGAATTGTGTATATATATATAATAATTTTTTTTTCCCCCCATTGCCCAGTTAAATTTTATTTTGTTATACTGTTATATTGCCCAGCCCTATTTGGTATTTGAGGAGTGTATTATAGGTAAAAACATCAGAGTGCAGGCTTTTTCATTTGGTTCCTTTGTCTTTACATCAGAAGGATTCTAGCAGATGGTTTACAGTTTTTACATGTTTCTTCTGAAAAGCTTGCTGTTAGTTCAACTAAAAAAAAACAAAAAACAAAAAAAACAGTAATGGTTGGGAATATGATCTGGAAATATCAACACTCATCTGCTTTTACTGAAATCTTGACTCCGTTTTGGAGGCTGTCTCACAGCGAACACTTAGGAATGGAAAATGGTTAAACAACTAAATAACTACCTCTAAAATGTCCATCTGATCTTATTGGATATTGAATTGCAGTTTTGGCAACAAATGAAAGTAGAACAGGAGCATCACATGTACATAATCACAGTGGATTACAATAGCTATCTTGCTCTAACTTTGCAGACGAGTCACATCACATTTATTTTTATATAGCACTTTTTTACAGTACAGCAGCTTCACAGTAATAAACAGGAAAATAGTGTTAATGTTGCAAAGTCATCAAATTCAGCAGTAAAGGAGCTCTACAGAAGATAATGGTGTCATGATTCAGCTCAAGTCAGTTCAGTTTTTAACTCAAGTCAGCATCACATAATTTGACATTTGACATTACCATTACATTTTTACATAAACTTTTTACAAAACCGCTGGACATACGTAGGGAGTCAGTGGGCATGGCGGTGTTTCTTGGCGGTGAAGTGGTAATAGTTCCCTGCTGAGAAAATCCATTCAACTGTAAACAGTCCATTACAACAGTTTTCTGTTAAGACCTGCCTGCTAAGCCAGTCTTTTAGTGTGTAATCGTCTGTACTCCCATGAGTGTAACAGCCTCACTGTCTGAGAAGGGCAAAATCAGCAAAAACAGTTGCTAAGTGTGTCATCCGCCCATCCAAATCGAGTTCTTACGAGTCAGTTAGTGTGGCGCCGGTTTAACAAGGGTTTAGTGGAGCTGTTAACATTCGCTTCCTGCCTAGACTTGTATAATTCGACCTTTGAAACTCATATAGACTTTTCATAAGAATAATTATTGTTTTTCCAAAAGATATACATACAGATTATTACACAGAATGAAAACAAAGTGTAACATAAAGTTCTAAATATCTTTTGTGTACATTATTTTGTGTACACTCCAAAGAGAAAGGAAAACTTGAAATCGCATCATATGACCCCTTTAATTCTGGCCTCACACTTTGGCAAATCCAACACCTAGTTCTTCCTCCCAAGCTTTTATGTAATCAGCACATTTTTTGTTCTTTGTCAGACTGATATACTGACGCATGAATATTGCATTGCAGTTGGGGAATCTGTTTGGATCTTGCCTTTTTTTTCTGCAAGTGTTTTTCAGTTTTTTAATAGGAGTAAGATGGCCAGCGGATAGACTGTGGGTGTACAGTGTTTCCCACAGGTCTGAAATATACTTGTGGTTGTAGTGGTAGAAAAGGCTGACATTACCCACTGGCACAAAAATGGTCTAGCTAGTACATGTGATAAATAATGTGTAACCTTCAGCATAATATTTTTATTTATTGAATATAAAATAAAATTAAAATGAAGCAAAAAAATTTATAAAATTTACATTTATTTATAGAGTTATATATCATGAATTGAATATAGAATGATTTTTGTTAAAGCTGACAGTGATTCAGTCAAAAGCAGTGAGTGATTGTCTCTTTCTCTTTTGTTGTTTAACATTAATTACACTCAATGACAGCTACAGGTTTATTAGGCTGCTGTCACTTTAAGACCTAATGCACGGATTCAGTATCTGATTTCTTTCCCAACGGTTTACTTCACTTACGTTCACTTAAGACATAACTGAATTTTGGCATAACTTGCATATTGTGCGTATTTCACCATTTAAGCACAATACACCATGAAAAAGAACTTGCGCTATGTGACAGGTGGCTTTCTTTGTGCACGCTTCAGGTGTGTGTGCACAGAACATTCTCTGACAGAACAGTGTGCGAGTACCAAATTGAGTCCTCCCATAACTTATTGCACTTTAATTAAAAAAATATATATAAATCACATGAATGTTGAAACTGCCAAGAAAATGAATGTCAAGGATAAACTTTCATGATGACCTAAAACTGCAAAATAATGTGAATGTAATTTCGAAAGAGATGATTTTAGAGTCTGCAAATATACTTGGGCAGACTTTAATATACCTGGGCGGCCTGCCCAAGTAAAGTCTGTGTGTGGGGAAACACTGATGTGCCATCTGAGGCTCAAACTACCCACTGACTTGCATGGCTGCACGCACCAGATCCCTTTTTTCCAGTTCTTCATGTAAATGAAGCAGAGTAATGAATTACAATTTGATGTGCATTTGAACCATTTAATCTGTCCATCTCCAGCTGTCCTTTGGTGCTGATGTTTATCCGTTTTGTTCCCATTATCTGTGCTGGCATGCTTATTTGCTTCATTTAGACTTGACAGCATCCCTTTGGCCAGGAATTATATCACTGGCCACAGGTCGCCATTGGTCACTTCCAGAGCCACAGCCACATCCACCTTAACACGCCGCCCTACAGTATTACCAGCCCTCCCCAGGAAGTAAGTCTGGGGTGGAAGACACTCCCAGCTTGCTGCTCATCTTAGACCAGTTTGGCTGTCTGTCTGTAAAACCAAAGGTTGTTGTCTGGAGGTAAAACTGGTCCAAGTTCAGCACAGGCAGCAGGATTAATGCATGGGTTTACTGGACTCTCTGCATTTCCTTGCATTGTTTGAGCCTGTAGCTGTATTGCACATGTTCTTTTAAAGGCATTTAGGGTATACTCATCATTTCCTGTGATCATGTTTTCATTGTATTATGTGCCCTGTCATTGGTTGTGTGACTTTGGTGCAGTGTAGAGTGCTGCTTATGTCTTTTTTTAAGCAACCATTTTGAATTTGCGACCAAACAATATCACTGTGTTTTTCCGTACAGGAACACATCAAAGCGTGGCGAGTCGTTTGGGATCAGCCGTATTGGAAGCAAAATAAAAGGCGTGTTTAAGAGTAGCACAATGGAGGGCGCACTGCTACCACAATACGCCATGATTGAAGGAGAAGAAGACACGGTGAGACAAACCCTTCAGAAACATGTCGACACTGAACATTTTAGTTTGGGGACCAATTCTCACTGTTAACTAAATATTAACTACACCTTTTGCCTCAGTAATCTCCTAATTACTGATTATTAGTAGTTAGTAAGGTAGTTGTTAAATTTAGGTATTGTGTAGGATTAAGGGATCTAAAATATGCTCATGCAGAATGCCATTTTCAGAAGGCCATTTTCCATTCCATTTACCACAACAATAGCTATGTTTCCATCACCCTGTTTGTATGTGCATTTTGAAGTATTCTTCAGAAATGAGTGATGGAAACGCCAAATTCTGGAAAAAACAAACAAACAAAAAAACTTAATTCGCAAAAAAGTTTTTACGCTCGCTTGAGGTGGTTTTTGACTTGTGCGGAAAAGGGTTAATGCGAATAATGGGAGATAAACGCATTTGCCAAATAAATTCCTCAATGTGTATCAAAAGTCATGTGACTTTGCGCCAATGGACGGCATAACCTGACTAACCAGCGGATCAAACTTATTACACAGCATCTGTTTTACATGACTATTGAGGAATTTTAACCAAAGTATGTTGCAGACATTTCATTAAGACCCTAAAGAATCATACCAACTTGTAGAAAATGGGCATCCGATGTCCCCTATTAACTTCAAGTGTATTCTTAATCTTGGATCTCATTATTGAAGCACAAATTCACCAAAAGCAGCCCACGCCCAAGTTCTCTTTAACTATAAAATATGCTTTTTCATTCATTCAAAGGCTATATGGCTGCAATAACATTTTAGTTCAAAATTTTGCCATTGTTTAAAAAAATGGTTTATTTACTGACATTTCAGACTTTCAGTTGTTATGCTTTCAAATTTTATGCCATATATATGTATGTAGGCTATGTCATTTCACAGTATATCCACCTCCTAAAGTACTACAACTCGTGTGCAGTCACAATTCTATAATGGTACAATTTACTCAGGCTGATTGTTTGTGTGTAACGTGTGTGTCTCTTTTTCGAGAATGTTTTTTGAACATCTCTATACGGTCAGGTGGAGGAAGCAGTGATGGTGTTTGAGGACGACTCTCCAGGGCCTGTGGAGGTGGTGGGAACTCCAGGGACATTGCGTAACCTTGCCGCTTGGACCATCTCAATCCCTTATGTGGATTTTTTTGATGACGAGGTTAAGAAAGAGCGCACTCCAGTCTACTGCATCGACGTGGAGCGCCACGACAGAAAAAATGGTGAGTTTCAGAACAAAATTTACACTAAATTCCATTTGAATAAACTATTTTTTTATTACACGAATGTCCTGTGAGAACAGAGCCACTTTGTAAAAGTGCTTATTTGCTTTACAGTGGGGCATGAGACCGAGAGCTGGTTTGTTTATAGAAAATACCTGGAGTTTTATGTGCTGGAATCTAAACTCACAGAATTTCATGGTAAAGTTGATTATTGTCTCTCTCTTCATGACAGAGGCTTCATGTTTATGGATTATTCATCTCTCTGGTTTGTTTTTCTATTACAGGCCCATTCCAGGATGCTCAACTCCCTTCCAAAAGAATCATTGGACCAAAGAATTACGAATTCTTGTCCTCCAAACGAGGTGAATTTGAGGAATATTTACAGGTAATTTACTTGAGCTTTTCCCACTTGCTTCATCTTATTAACCAAGAGAAGTACAAACAGCATCAGTGAGCCATAAGGTTACTTAAAATCAGGCCTTATAATTTATGAAAGTACATTATTAATGTAAATTGAATGTATCATGTTCAAGTTGTTTAGCAGTGTAAGTGTGTATCATTAAAAATGCTGAATAGACAGTGAATTAGAGATTAACAATGATTTGCTGCAAGGATAATTCACTTTAAATGTTAAAAGAAAAAACATGATCTACAGTATTTTTACAGAGGCAGACACAAAGTTTCCAGTTGTGTTAATGAATTTAATTCATAAACATTTTTGTTAGTTTGTACTTAAACCGTGTCCTCTGTATCAATATTTCTCTGTTTACAAAGGACACAGACTCTCTGCTTTTATTTAAATTTCACTGTCGTACTATATGTTTTGATTGCTGGTCAGGGTGACGTAATGTGTAAGATAATGACATGAATCTCTCTGTTTCCTAAAGAAACTGCTGCATCACCCTGAACTGAGTAACAGTCAGCTGCTGGCAGACTTCCTGTCTCCTCACAGCATTGAGTCTCAGTTCAATGACAAAATGCTTCCAGATGTCAACCTGGGTATGTTTACTCCCCCTTAACCATATCCACATAATCTGCTCAACTTCACACAACACGTCTGCGCGTTTGGTTTGGTTTTATTCGGCCAGCTTCTTCTGTGCTTTATTAGAATTCATTCACCATTTTTTTTTTATATAATAAATTGAAAAGTCCTCACTGAACCTGATGAGTGTGTGTATATTATACATTGTATATATACACTCACTGAGCACTTATTAGGAGCACTATTCTAATACTGGCTAAGGACTTCCTTTGCTCTCAACCTTGTTCCTAGAGCCCCCTAACACTGCACATATTGCATGTCTCCTTTGTCTGAGGGTACGTTTTTTACAACAACAATGTACTAAAAATGGACGACAACATTGTTAAAACAATCCCTGTTCACATGGATCAGTGAAAACGACATGTAAAATGTGCAAAGTTGTTTCAGGCTCCAGGTGTGTGGTTGGGAACCACTGTACTTTTGGATTCAGATCCAGTGATTGGATAGGCCACTACATAACAGGGAATTCATTGTCATGTTCATGAAACTAGTTTGAGATGACTTTTGCTTTGTGATATGATGGAAGCAGGCATACAAGATTGGTAAATAATGGCCATGATGAGATGCACACGGTCAGCAACAATACACAAATAGATTGTGGCATTCAAGCAATGATTGATTGGTATTAATGGGCCTAAAGTGTGTCAAGACCTTCCTCACACCATTACACCACCGCTAACCAGCCTGAACTGTTCATGCATGGCAGGTTCAGTCCATGAATTCATGCCGCCGAATTCATCAGACCAGGCTGTATTTTTCCAGTCTGTCCAGTTCTTGGCTGACTGAAGTGAAACCTGATGTGTGGTCCACTGCTGTTGTAGCCCATCCACCTCAAGGTTTGATGTGCTCTGCTCATCACAGTTGTGCAGAGTGGTTATCTGAGTCACATAGCATTTCTGTCAGCTCACACTAATCTCCATAGATCTCTCTGATCTAGAAGGCATTTCCGTTTACAGAACTGCAGCACAGTTCTTTGGCACCAAAGAGTAAACTCTTGAATGTGTGAAAGTCCCAGGAGATGCTGTGTATTTGTTTGTTCTGTTCTCCCAGCTAAGGTATCTCACAAATGATTTTTCCTGCCCCACAATAGGGGTGACCCTTTAGGTCAAGGTAAATCGCCCAGCAAAAGTTCAGTTAAGTTTTTGATAGTTTGAATTTATAGTTCTGGTTTGGGGATTTAAAGGGAATTTACAAACTGCGCAAAGAAGCATCTGTAAACTGAACTTCCCGCACGATTGCTGTGTCTTGCCAGGTATACTGGTATACAGGTATACTTATTTTGGAAATACTTTATTTCAGTTAATCCTTTTTTATTCTTCCTTTTAATTGATGTGTGTCAATTTTTTTGTTAAAATGTTAAAATTTGATTCATTCTGGGTTCTTCTGAAATCATTATGACCAGTAGGTAAAGTGGAGTCTGGTGTTACTGATAAACTGAATGCAGCAGTGGCGCCTCCAGGAAATTTTTAATGGGGTGGCCAGAGGGGGACTGGTAAAAATATTAGGGTGGCTCACTAAAACATATAGTGGAAAAAGTGGTGACCTGCAATTGCTATTTTTGAGTATCTATTTCTAGTTAATCTAACCCACAATCTGTTTTTACTTTATCTCATTTTCCGTTGATGTAATTTGTCAGGGTGATATGCAGATTAACCCTCTGGGGTCGAAGACCGCACCAGTGTGGTCTGCCACGTTTTTTTATGATGACCTCGAAAAGAACTAAAAATACTCCGTCAATTTAATAATCGTACAGATAAGAGTAAGGCACCATTTGAAACTGCAAAGTGTCTACTTTTGTTTGTGTATAGTCAATAACAACAAAATAATGTGCTTTTGTAAAATAAAGAAAATAAACAGGGTGCGATTTCAGCCGTCTCAGTCTCCACGGATATCTTTCTGAAACGTGTCACTAAAATGAATAAAAACTCAGCGAATACTTGACACACAGACATGAGAAATATATCTATAGAAAGCTTGAAGTGTCTACTTTTAAAAGTCTTATCAAATACAAATATTTTCTGTAAAATCAACAGTTTTTAAATCAGAATCACTGTGCAAATTTAATGATATCTTGCACTTGCGCAGTTGCAGGCAGATCAAATCAGCTATGGAGTCAGAAGTAAATTATAAGTTGTTGTTGTTGTTGTTTTTAACAGAAGCACTAGAAAAGATATTACATGCAGAATACTTTTCCCCACACCATTGGATCCCATTGTTGGGCCAGTCGATGTTCTGACAATGCCACATAACTGCTGATTAGGTACTGTTTAAAGGGATAGTTCACCCAAAAATTTTATGTTTATCTGTTTACCCCCAGGGCATCCAAGATGTAGGTGACTTTGTTCCTTCAGTAGAACACAAACAAAGATTTTTAACTCAAACCGTTGCAGTCTGTCAGTCATATAATGGAAGTGAATGGGAATCATGGCTTTGAGAGTCAAAAAAACATACACAGACAAAACCAAATTTAACCCTGTGGCTCGTGATGATACATTGATGTGTAAAGACACGAAATGATCGGTCTGTGCAAGAAACTGAACAGTTGGTCCTTTTAGGGGTAGATAAGGTACAAAGTTGTCCTTTTAAGGGAGCTGTTGTACCCCTAAAGTTACAATTTTTCACATTTTTCTGACAGTGCAGGAGTTCTTGCATGCATTTCTGTGTTTAATGCAGAGAGATCAAAAGAATACCCCTAATCACATAATGCAGACACACTTCCGTGTGATCAGTTTGTGGAGAATGTTTGCGACTGTGCCCTTCGTAGGGAGCTTAAGCGATTTGTTTGTGGTAAATCTAGGTCCAACTTTTTTAATGGCCCAATTAGGTGGGAGTGTGAGGTCATGACAGTGTGTAATTGGGACTGCAGTCATTCTGCATCGTCAGCTTATGGAGTTTATGCATTGTACTGCCGCCACATGATTGGCTTATTATAAAATCACATGAATAGTAGGTTTACAGGTGTTTCTGATAAAGTGAGTGTATAAAGTGCTGCATTTCAGCAGAATGATTAAGATACCAATGTTCAATTATATTTAATAATACTATTCATAATCACAATTATTCCACCATGTAATTTACAGTAGCCCCCAAAAGGTTTTGGATGCTTTAGTGAAATGCCATTGTATTGAATTACAAAATATTTTAAGCCAAATATAATCTCTGCTTCATGATACTAGAGCTTTCCTTTTCAAATTCTCTTTTGTGAGTTTTAAGAGTTTTATCACATTAATTATGAACTGATTTTTCCTATGAACATATAATGTTTTATAATCACAAAATGGTGCAGTACTTTTCATCTTCATTATCAACACTAGATTATATATTTTTTCTCCAAATTTTGCTTGAAAGTGTGCTTGTCTTCGTTTAAAATGATGCTATCGTAATGGTGTTCAGACTTTTTAAGGCCACTGTAAGTCAATGGCCTAATTTCATTCATTGTTGGCCTAAAGCATTGATATAGATTTCAGTGGATTTATCACATGTGTGAGTATATCAACTATTTAAACAACATCAAATGTTACTTAGCCACTTTTATGCACTTCTGAAATCTGCTTGGATATGTTTTGGAAGTTTCCCAGGCTGGTGAAGTTGCTAGCTAGTCAGTGGTGAGAAAACAGTCTACAGCAGTCTATTTGGAGTAGGGGAGAGCGGGGCACAAAGTAACACTTTTTGACTTTCTCAGTTTGTGTAAATCCACATGGGGTTCAGAATATATTTTTTTTATCCACAGTAATTTTACACGTGTCTAGTACAAATATGTTGCCTTGTTTCAGGATTACAGTGTATACGTTTTTCTTTATTTACCCTCAAAAAATGGAAGTGAAATGTGACAACATGCCCCGTAGGTGAGGTATATTGTAACATCTGAGGGGCACGTTGTAACATGACCATATGACAGCTTAAATGTTATCTGATCGAATGAAAGAAATATACAAGACAAACTAAAATATTTTGTTGATAAAATAAAATAATAATTTTTATCTTCAAAAGATTTTTGAATTTTGGCACACTTTTTTTTCTATATTGTTGATATGGTAACTAATAAATACTGTAAATTTTGTTATGCTAGCATGTGTGGAAATATTCAAACCACGTGTGTTACAACTAACCCCGCGTTACTTTGTGCCCCGCGCTCCCCTAAACCCATAAATCAATCTGACAACATGAGTTAAACATTGTTGAGACAACAGCTGTGGGGATGTTTCTCAGAGAAAAGAGAGGAATCCTTTGAGAAAGAGCATAAATGTCCAGATTATGGTACAGAAATCATGGGATGTCCATGCCAGAGCTGCCTTCTAATGAACTCTAAAGTTACATGATCCTGTTAACATCTCCTGATGGACATACAAACATACATTACAATGTGTACAAAACACAAAAAAAAGGAGAGGAAAGGAAAAAGCACCTCAATTAAAACATTTACAAGTTGTGGTAAAAGCACTCACTAACAATTTTTTTAATGCACAGACTGAAATATTTGTCTCTAGTTTCAATAGCTTTTGTAGCACATTCCAATCATTTGGGGCAACAAATTCAAAAGTGGAATGACCATAAGTAGTTTTCTTTCAAGGGATAGTCAAAGAAATATAGATGATCTAGTTGTATATGTATTAGTATGAAGTTGCAGCAACTTGAAGATATTTAGGTAATAAGCCCAACAGAACTTTATAAATAAAGATATACCAGTGAATTTCCCGTCTTGTATGCAATGATTTCCGATTCAAAAGAGAGTTTAATTCACAATGATGTGTTTTGTAGGGTGCATTAGTAATCAATCTAATTGCTGCATGGTACAACACATCTATTTGTTCCAGAACACCTTTACCCGCATTTCTATATACCACATCACCATAGTCAAATAAAGGTAAAACAGTGGTTTCAATAATATATTTCTTGGCTGATGTGGTAAACACAGGTACAAAAAAAACTAAGTCTAGATTTAACTTTCTTTTGAAGATTAATTATATGATTAATAAAAGATTAAGAGCTGTCAAGCCAAATTCCGAGATATTTATATGAAGATGCTACTTCAATTTTTGCCCCATCCAGAGATATGTCTTTATTACCTTGTTGTTTTTTTTCCAAACCACATTACTTTTGTTTTTGTGCTATTTAGAACTAAATTTAAGTCTTGAATAGTATTAAAATTGTCATGTGCCTGTTTTAAAACTTAATCATATGGCAATCCTACAGCATAAAGAATTGTATCATCTGCATATAAGTGAATATAGGTTTTCTGACTACAGATGACCTGAGAAATATTATTAATGTAAATTGAAAACAGGGTTGATGCTAACACGGAGCCTTGAGGGACCCCTTTTTTAATAGTTAATGGTTCAGATAATTGTTGATCAATCTTTACATATGTACTGGGATCTGTTAAATAAATAGTTAGAGAACCAAGATAAGGTTAGATTAGACACAACAATACTATGTAATCTAGATAATAAAATAGAAGGATCAACTGTATCAAAGGCTTAAGATGCACAAAATTGTTGTTTCTAATGCATTATAAATATCGTTCATAACTTTTACAACTGCTGTAATACAACTAAATGATGAACGAAAACCAAATTGGACTTCAGATAAGATGTTACATGTATTAAGAAACCCTATCAATTGCTTAATTAATTTCTATATCACCTTTGCAGCACAAGGCAAAACTGAGATGGGTTTTCTGTAAGAAACCCAGCTGAACAACCTTAATGACAATCCCACGTTTTCCTTATCAAGTCTGACACAACTTGAGAACATCTGCTAGCAATAATGGAGGAAATCCCACAGTTTAATACTTAGAATTATGGTTTATTTAACAAACTGAGGCCAAAATCCTCTTTAGTCCATTTAGAAAGGTTTATAACATACTACATAAAAGTCTATAAAGCATGGGAAGAGTAGGCTTTGAATATAATGACTTTCCTTAATAGAATTTCTGTTTGTCTCTGCAGGGAAGATATTTAAGTCTGTGCCAGGAAAACTGATCAAAGAGGTAAGAATTTGGATGTAGGTTAGATTGTCTGTGTGTATTTCTACTTTAAGGCACAATGAACTCAAAACTTACTTTATTTACTTTTTAAATTCACATTTCCTGGTGTTATGAATGATTCATAATTTCACATTATTCCAAATGTAACAGTCGTCTTTAGTTAGCGTGCACATTTCCATGCTAGCTATTGCTGGATCGAGCCCTGCATTACAGTGATATTAGTCTTTCAGCGCAGTGCTGCCCTGTACGGTGCTTGTTTTCTCAGATGTACACGTTCAGCTTATGTTTACTACACTAATTTCTGTAGTACTTTATTATTCTGCCGTTTGGTCAAGACCATCTGTTTGTTCGACTATATGTCAGATAGGGGGAGTTTTCGGGTAACCTGTTTGACAACAGTCGTTATTTTTATAATTTGGTTTGGTGGCACTTTTGCTTTATTTGTGTCTTGATATTTAAAATATCAGATCTACTAGTGTAGACCACAATGTTCATAATAACTGCTGTACAGCAGTGGCCTCAAACCGCCCTGCAGAATTTAGCTTCAACCCTAATTAAACACACCTGAACAAAGCTCATCAAGGCCTTTCAGGATTACTAGTGCTGTGTTCCATTTGTACTCAGAAGTTGGAAATTCCGAGTTCCCAGTAGGAACAGCAGGAACCCCCTCCCAAGTCGGGTCGGAGTTCTGACTCGGAATCTCTGAGGAATCGCAACAACTCCAACTTCAGAATCCAATATGGCTGCTCAGTGCATCAGCAGAAGAGAAACTGTAGTAATATATTGTTTATTAGTGCATATGTTTGTCTGTGTCTCAATAAACTCAGTGGTGCACACAGTACAATCCAACGTCTATTTGGTGACGTGTTACTATGGCGTTTATCTGTGCAAAATGCAGTTTATAATCGACTGGTATTGCTAACAATGGACGTGTCCATCATGGAACACGGTCCACTTGGGTGTGACGTCATTCCCAGCTCCGACTTCTGAGGTAGATCGAGCGCAGCATAGAAACTTCCAAGCAGGTGAGTTGGAGCTAAGCTCTGCAGGGCTGTGGCCCTCCAGGAACTGAGCTTGAGACCACTGCTGTACAGGTTATGTCTCTAGCTTTCTTCAGATTTTAGATCTCTTATGGGATAAAATTACTATAGTTGTTTAGCATCAGGTGTAAATATAAATAATATAATATGTAATCAGAAGTCAGACACATCTATTTACTGATAAAGAACAAATAGGAGTTTTTTTTTTTAAACTTTTTTAATTTCTCACAAAATTTGAAAAGCATAAAATGGTTTTAATATGACTTCATGATGTTTATGCTTGCTGATTTTCTTTAGAAAGGGCAAAACCTGGAGCCATTTATCCAGTCATTCTTCAGTTCCTGTGAATCCCCCAAACCCAAACCCAGCAGACCTGAGCTCACCATCCTCAGCCCCACTGCAGAAAATAATAAAAAGGTGCGCTTACTACTCAAAACACTAACATTTCTTTCAATAAAAGCATTTTTTCCCTTCTTTTTTTCAGAAAAAAGTATTATATCATGTAATGTATTAAAACATGATTCAATCAAACATGCTTGTTCATAATTATCTGCACTTTCAATAGAAGATCACTTAGGATTTTGTCCCGAGCATTAAAAATTGCTCATTTATTAAATCATTACTTTACATTTACTCTGCATTTCTAATATTTATACTAGCCTTATAAAATACATTTTCTTAGTTTTTTTTTTTTAATATTAAAAAATTGTGAAATATTACAATTAAAAAAAAAATTGAAGGTGCAGTTAATTTTATTTTTCCTTTTGTCATTGAAAGATGTATCAGTACAAACTGTACTCAATATATAGTTTTGGAAATCTATTTACTGATCACAAATCATTCAAAAAATGAAATTGCATTGACTTGTCATATTCTCTGTGTATTTTTAATACTGGAAATAACATTTCCACTCATACCATTTTAGCTATTTAATGAGCTGTACAGAAACAATGCCAATCTGCCAGAGGGCCTAGAGAGAAAACACAACCAGAACTACTTCATGGAGCTGATGGAGGTTGATGGAGTATATGACTTCATGATGTACATAGGTGAGTGAATGTAATTCAAACAAACGTTTATTCATCGTAAAAATGAAGTATGATTACTAAAATGAGAGCAAATCCAGAAACTAAAAACCAAAACATGAAAATGTACTCATCTGTTTGGTGTTATATTTTCCAAAGAACACAAAAGTAACAGTTCATAGTGACTATGTTTGGACCATGAAAGTGTGTTAACAGTAGTCCGTACGACTCGTGTGCACTTTTCTCTTGAAGTCATGTGACTGAGGATGGTATTGGTTCTCACATTTGTAGTTACCAAATGAGATGTGACACTTTTTTATTTCTTTACAGACTGGTATTACATAACAGTATTTCACAGTTGTTAGTGGAGATTTTTAATTTTTTTTTGACACAGGTCGGGTGGTGTTCCACATGCCTGATTGGCTGCATCACTTTCTGAGCGGAGCTCGTATTCTCTTGAAGAGGACTCTAGAGGTGTATGTAGGGCATTATTTCCAGTTCAAACTAGAGCACATCATGCAAGAGCATCGCCTCGTCTCTCTCATCACTCTATTGCGAGGTTTGTGTGCTCAAATCCACCTTTACAAAATCATATCTTCAAGTTCTTCAATACATGATACCTGTTATACACTCTAAAAACCCAAATATTGCCAAAATGCATCATGAACAATAGAACTTCTACATGGATGTCTGCAGTTAGTTTGTTCCTGGAGGCATGCCATCAGTACCTTATCTGGCTCATGCATTTCAGGACTTCCTTCCACTTCACTTTAAACATACATACATACACTCTGACTAAGCACTTCCCTCAGGGAATGTCTGCTATTACTGGAAGTTCAACTGAGCAAAGGACATTTCTGTTGACAGACCCTCAACCCCTCGATTAGGACAGAGGGAGCGAGCAAACCTATTCATTTGTGCCTTATGTTGTGTTCAAAATCTGACTATGATTTTTATTGTGCCACCAAAAATCAAACAAAAAAACGGCATCTATTAATACTATTAATATGAATAATTCTCAGACAAAACATTTTAAACCGAAGCAGTATGGAAAAGCACATCTTCTGTGTTTTGTCCTGAAGCTAAAACAGTAGAACATGGTGCTAGCAATGCCAAGATCATGGGTTCGATTCCCAGATTGGGATTCAGAGAGACACTTTGCAGGCATGTTCATGACCATAAATGAGAAAAGGTCAAAACATTTCAAGAAATACGTAAGTTAACAAGTAATTCCAACAACTCAGAAACAACTCAAGAACTTCCAGTAATCAAAATGGGTCAAATTGTTCTGCAATCTAATATAAGGGATGTTTCAGGCAGCTCTATATCCCAAAATGCAATTAGACTTCACTTATTCTCTCCCACCCCACACAGCTCTTGTGTATGATGAGGGTTTTACTGGATGCAACAATTCATCCGGGGGACGATAGGGTATGCAACGAGGATGCTACAAATGCCTCGTTTATAATGGGTTTTATTGGTTTTGTTCCATCACACCGGGACACGGCATCACAGGATGGTGAGGGGCTTCGGCCAATCACAACGCACTGGATAGCTGGCCAATCAGAGCACACCTCGCTTTTCAGAACGATGAGCTTTGTAAAAATCGACGCGTTTCAGAAAGGCGGGGCATAGAGGAGCAACAATAATGTACAGTATGTGGAAAATAATGTGTTTTTTTTAACCTTAAACCGCATAAACACATTTCATTACACCAAATACACAAAATAATGTTCTTTTTAGCAGCATCATATGACCCCTTTAACCAGATTTAACCACATAATACTTATAACTACATTTAAGTTGTTTTAGTTTATTGTATTGCTATTTTGTTTAAGTTTTCCCCAACAACTCAAGTAGGCCTATAGAATGGTAGAATGGTGCATAAATCCAAATCATAAACCAAATCGTAAATCAGCTCCATTGTGAATTTCGGGCTACTTGCACAATGTAAGCACTCACAATCAAATCCATGGGATGGTGCATAGTTAAGAAAAGAAGGCAATAAAATTGGAACGCAGTACAGTCTATATGAACAAGCTGATGAGTTTGATCAAGTGTTTTATTGGATAGACATACATAATGTGCTGTGTTGGTGAACCTCCAGCATTAGGGTTAGGAAACACTCTTTCCGTGGCTCATCCTAATGGTTAGAGAGTCAGACTTGTAACCCGAAGGTCACGGGTTCGAGTCTCAGTACCGGCAGGGATTGTAGGTGGGGGGAGTGAATGTACAGCGCTCTCTTCCACCTTCAACACCCACGACTGAGGTGAGACACTTGAGCAAGACACTGAACCCCCAACTGCTCCCCGGGCGCCACAGCAATATGGCTGCCCACTGCTCCAGGTGTGTGTTCACGGTGCGTGTGTGTGTTCTCATGGTTAGATTTGAGTTCTTCAACTGATCTGATTCTGCACCTCTGCAGATGCTGTTTTCTGTGAGAGCACAGAGGAACGCTCTCCTGAGGACAAACAGAGACGAGCCAAGCAGACCTTTGAGGAGATGATGAACTACCTGCCAGGTACCTCATAACAGCTGCACTGATCGCTTGTTTGTGACAAGCCCTGTTTTTGAGCCAGACCTCAAGTGCGTTTTCCTGTCCTTGTCGAGATGCAGCAGGTTTATGGTTATGTGTTGTCATTTGAAGGTTTTGAATACAAATAATAAAATGCAACTAACCATATAAAGGAGTGCAGGATAGTCAGCATTTAGAAGGGAGGAGAAATACTTTTATCTGCAAATATTGTTAGGCAGTTAAATCAGCATATCATAATCTTATCATGTTGACAAAAATTTAATAGGAACATCTCTAATTGATGTGTGGTGTTTCTCAGGTCTGGTCGGGAAATGTTTCGGTGAGGAAGCAAAGTATGAGGGCGTCAAGATGCTTTTCAACACCATTCAGCAGCCACTGCTTAACAAACAGGTGCAAACTGCCATACACACTCATCTAACGTCCTCAAACGCTCTCACTCTCTGCTCCCTTCTCTTTATTGACCTCTTGTTTGCTAATAGATGACGTACGTGCTGCTTGACATCGCTGTCCAGGAGCTGTTCCCAGAGCTCAGTGAGGTAAGGCTCTCCTGCACCACTCACACTCAGACACAGAGCAGCTCATGATGTTTATTAATGGAGCTTCTGCTGTTTTGTCTTTTGTAGAATCAGAAGGCAGGTCTCTCCGTCTCCACTAAATGGATGTAAAACATTATCGGACTTAACATCAACATTATAAAGCGTTTATTGCACTACTGAAATACAATTATTTATTGACTTTAATGGGGTTTGTATGCCATGGTTATTCGTTGAATCATTGGAACCCTGCCTTATTTGACCAGTCTGGTTTAAATCGTAACAGCATTATAACAAAAGGTTTGGATCAAGTAGATTGTGACATAATATCATTATCAGTATGATAACATTCTTCAGACCTGATGTAAATAAACCATTTTACACTCTTGATGGTCCCTGAAGATGCTCAAAAAGACACAAAATACAGACAAGTACAAAAAAAAAAGAAAAAAAAAAAAAAAAAAAAAAAAAAAAAAAAAAAGAGAACTGAGACATTTCATATGTCACACAGTTAAGAGCCATGTGCAAAATAAAAGTACTGAAAACATGTTTTGTAAATGTTCTGGCTTTGCACGCAGTAAATTAAATCGTAATATATCCAGCTTCTTTGTCCCTGGTTATGTATATCACAATAAATGATTAAAAAAGAAAATCTATATAAAATAAATGCTTTATAAAAATATGAATAGCTACCTTGTGAAAAAGGGATGGAGATTTCTTGCCAGAAAAAACACTATCTATAATCACCACAAGTTGTGATGTTTAATGAATCATAATCAGGAAACATGACAAATTAAAGATAAATAACTTCACCCTTTTTATAAGAATATCAGGAAAAGATGTACAGGTCATAATTGAGGAAAATATATTATGAAAATATATTTTGAGTAAAGAAAATGTACTCTGTTTTAGGACATCAAGATTTTTTGCTTTGCAAAAACAAAAAAAAATGTGTTTAATACAAAACAAAAATGATCCAATTGATAAAGTCAACATGAATTAAGTCATACTACCATGTTGTATGATATAAACCCTACTTTACACTCTAAATTTATTTCCACATCGCAATCATGAGAATTTGGAGTTATGATTAGCTGAATTATCATGAAATATTACAAAATAGGCCTAAAAAAATAGGCTTTTGTAAGCAAAAAGGATTTTGAAGTGAAATATGATCTGGACATTTCTTTGTGAGATTCAGCATAGTATACCCTCTATGAGTGCTATGAACTTTATGTATAAAGAGGTATAGAAAATGCCTGTATAGGCCAATTTCAGTGTTTGCAAACAGTGATGACGCTTTTTTTGTGGGTCTATCTGGTGGCAGAAAATGCCCGTTTTAACGTAGCAGTCTACGCAAGCCATGAAATCAAAGAATAAAAAAAGGTATATTTTGAGTTTTTATTTCAAAATTCTGACTTTTTTCTTGCAATTCCGAGATTATATCAACTCGTCGTTCTCTCTTTTCCCCTCGGCTCAGAATCATGAGTTTATAATCCCACACTTCTGGCTTTTTCCCCCCCTCAGAATTGGCAAACTCGCAATTGTTGAGGTAAATCAAGTTATAAAGTCCAAACTAGGAGATATAAACTTGCATTTGCGGAAAAAAAAAAGTCAGAATTGTGAGTTAAAATAGGTAGGCTAAATGTAATGTAAAATGTTATAGGTTTAAATAGTATTTCATGCTTTAACTGTAGGGCTAATACAATATGTCCCCTATGTGAATATTATATAGACCTATTGTTTAAATCAAATTTATGCTTTAAAAGTAGGGTAATCGTAGGAGGTTTCATCCATAGTTTGTCCGTTTAAACGTCTG